TAAGCATTATGTCTTTTTTTTTTCCATCCTCCAGGTACAAACAGATCAAATAGCAACTGTCTAGTTTTTTCTGGCATGTAGTTACTAGAGCAACTGATTTGTTTGGGGAAAAAGTAATGCTAGCCTTTCTGTGGCTCATGACTGTAATCTTGTTCTCAATAGTTGGCACTGACCCAGAGTCTGTGTTGTGTACACTTTTGCCATCTCACTAATTCAACAAATTGGATGCTTGATAGGTTCAGAGTAGAATACCATAAAGGAAATAGGTGGGAGATAATACTGTTCTGCAGAATTTTTATAATCAGCTTTAAGATTCATTTTGTGTTCAGAACTCTGGGCTTTGCTCTACGCTGCAAAGTTCTCCTGCTTTTCTTCCCTGCAAGGAACAATCATGATCACCCACTAATGCATACTTACATACCTGTGCAGGATGTATGAGAGATGCAGCTACTAATAAGGAGCTGAATTCATTGGCCTTTTCTTCTTTGTTAATAGAAGGCCGGAGGAGTAACTCCACAGTGAATGAAAATCAGAAATATGTGAATCCCTCTACCTATGGGGGCATGGCCTTGGCAGAAATCCTGCTCCCAGGTTCTTTGTTTATGTCCTGGGGCTGATGTTCCAGTAAGGCAATTCTTGGTCTTAACATTGCCCTTCTACCCTTCCCCCAGAAAGTAGAACAGATTGCTATTGAGTTACACAGTTCAGAGCTAAAGCTCTCTCAATCCATGGGTTCCGTCATAGGAAGGTCAAAGGGAGGGAGCAAAGCCAACATTGCATTTGCAAAGCAAACAAATCAGAACAGCATCACTCCTGCTAAAGCAAGTTATGTGGCTCGTAGAACCTGATGGCAGAATCTTGTAAAAGAAGTGAAACAGTGGGAGGAGTAGACATGGTACAAGATAACTGAGAATGCACTTCTCCCCTGTATATCCATGTAACAAGTGTGATGGAAATTGGAGGAAATAGGAAAAAAAATAAGGCTTTGAGTTTCTTTTTTGTCTAAAAAAAAAAAAGCCCGAGAGGGCAGTACAGTAATTGTATTCTTATATATTACAATAAACTGTTATAAAGAGGATGACAATTAGCTGCTGTGTATGTTTGTAGTGGACAGTGGAAGAAGAAATCAGCTCAGGCTTGTGAGTGGGAAAAGTGCTCAAGTGGGATACTTGCAGAGCTTAACACATCTGAGTCACTGGACATCTCTTAACAATAAACAATTCTCTATAGGGATATGTTTATAATAAACTGTGAGGGAGGATATTGGAGGGAACATATAAATTTGTACTTGCGTGTTACAGCTGCACTTCAAAACCAGCTGAGAAAATACTGACCAATTAAGAGAAGCATTGAGGTTTTTTTTTTTCATGTAATGAATTCATAAGCAAGCCATGCATAACTTCTGTTTACAATATTTGCAAGATAGGAGTTTTAAAAGAATCGTGTTGTTCTTTACCAGAGCATGTCTTGGAAGCTGTTTTTAGAACTGTATTCAGCTTCTAGCTGAGAAATAAAGTGATGCTCCAGGTGGAATAACAGCCTTTAATATATGAGTGGGATGCAGTTTTACTGTGCTAGATGAATTTCTCTTTCCTATTTAAGTCAATGAGAGCTTTGGAAACATACTGCTATTACAAAATCTGTACTGGGTTGGGACCAGGACTCTAATCTGTGTTTTAGGGAAAATACAAGTCTTGTTAAGATCCTGATGCCCTTATTCATAACATCATTTTATCACATACTGGTCAAGTGTTGATAAAACTGCTAAGAGTTCACCAACATTGCTACAGACAGCATCGACAATCTTCACTCTAAGGAACAGAAGGGATGGTACTAGATATCTAGCTGGATGCTAGATCTGTCTTTGGATCTTTGGATCAAGTACCTCTTTTTAACAAGACAGAGCAGGATTGGTGTCATAGGAGGCAGAACAGAAGCTTTCTAAAATGTTAGTTTCCAGATAATACAATTCTGGTTGAAATTTCAACTTGATTATATACTTTTTGTTAAGGGAAAGAACTCTTCCCTACAGTTAGAAGCCTCCTGACAGTTCTAAGAGGGTTGTCTATCACTTCCTTTCCCCCAGAGGGTTGTGGCAATCGGGAAAGAACTTGGGTATAGGAAGAATTTTGTCTTCGGGGGCTAGAGGTAGAACCCTGTGGTCTTTGTTTTGTGGTTTCAGTTGATAAGCTTTGAGAAAGATTTAATGTCTCTGTGGCCTTGTGAAGTAGAGATAATGATGGTGTAATGAGGCTAGAAATATTTTTGAATATGGCACAGTGCCATAAACAGCTTCTCCCATTTCCCCTCAATAAGCCTAGAGTAGGTCCTGCTATTACATGTATTCTTTATGTAAACAGCAAGAGAATGGAATTCAGTTTTCTTAATAGCTTGAGCCACTTAAAATATCTTCAGTCTCTTTTCCTACAGGCTCACAAAGACTCTACACATGTAAAATATTCAGTTACAGTAGCTTTTATAGTTTCCAAAGACAAGAATTTTGGTTTTTTTAAGTAATTAGCCATAGTATGGGGTGGGGTTTTTTGAGCTTTTTTCTCATGATGTGGAAGCACCATTACGCTGACTCACTGCATGTACTCAGAGAACAATTTTAATTTGCAGAAATAGACAAACTAAACACTTGTTTAGGATTTTTTTTATTTGCCGTTTTTTGTAGTTGCCACTGCAAATATAGAATCTGTGGCTTCCTTCTGAAAAGCACACTAGAAATGGAATGTGAAACAATTTATGTTACAATTGAATATATTTCCACCAACTGTTAATAAAGCAGTCTCTGAAGAGTGTGGTTTTGAGCTATTGATTTTTTTGAGCATGAAATATTAAGAGTTCTTGCTATGTTGTATAGCTAATGGTGCTGTTATAATACGGTACCAATGAAGTGCCCTTTTGATTTGGCATGCAGGATGCCACCTCCTCCTCCTTTATTAGGTGTATTCTTTACCACTACAGGAAGCATTGGTACATTTTCTTTTAATATATTTTAGCTTTGGTATGGATGTGATACAAGTAGCAGAACAGAAGCTCTTTTGAGAAACATTGAGGACAGTATTTAGTACTTTTCACTGATCTTTCCCATTCTGATATTTGGAACGTGTAAATTGTCTATCATCACCTCTGAAATTTAAGACATATAAAAATGTCCCCTATTAAGATCCCCAGGTTGAACCAGTTGCCTTTTATTCAGTCTTAAGCAATCGCTAATTCATGTACATAAAAGTTAGAAACACGTGAAAGGGCTGAATATTTAAAATGTCTGTAACTTTTTTTTAATATAAGCTGGGCTATAGCTTTTACAATCTGTTCTTTCTTTTATATAGTTCTCTTTACATTCCTTGTAAATGCATTTATTGTTGCAGTTACTATTAAAAACTCTTTGAAATATATAGATATTGGAAAATTGCCCCTTACAGTGCTCATGCAAAAAAAAGCTGCATAGTGTTTAACTTTTTATCTCATTTTTCTTTACTAATCTGCAATGTCTTTTTTCTCTTTTTTTTTAAACTCAGTACAGAGATGATGGGAAATTCAGAACTGTCTCCTGAAGTGGATGTAAATTCTCTGAATGCTCTTATTTCACAAAATGTGGTAGACCAGCTTCTCAGCAAGTATATGTCAACACTTACGGTGAGTAATAATAATGCAAAGACACGTTTGGATGAGTTTATAGCTGCTTTAGTGCCTCAGTGCTGTTCCTCCATCAGAGGAAACTAATGTGACAAACGTGAACTCAATATCATTACTTTCATAAATTTTCATATACTATGTGTAGGTTTGTTTATAAAGTTATAATCAGATTATTTTATAGGTGTAAATCATGACATTTCAAGGAAGAATTATGCTTTACAGACTGTATTAATCATATTTTATTAGAAAGAAAGGAATTCCAGTGTTCATATGTCTAAATTCATAGTATGTTATACTGTGCTATTATGTTAGGTTATTACTATACTTACAAGCTGCTGAATGCAGCTTGGTCCCTGTAGTAACTATGTCAACATTTGATACAGATGTGATCTTTTCAAGGTAATCAGGATGTTCATGTTTGCCAGTTTGATTCTTTTAACAGTCTTTTTCCTTTCATGCCTGTCAACTGTGTGAGTATAATTTCCTTCTGTGGATGCCATTTCAAGTGCATCTTAAATATAAAGGCATTGCTTCTTGGTTATCCTGAGTCACTGGAAATTGGTCAACTACATGGCAAAGGAATCAGTATGTGATCGTCAGGTGTTTAAATGTATTTCTTTCTAAAGATCCACTGTTGATTGCCTCTGAGGCTGGATATTGGGATAGTTGGAACTTTGGACTTGCTGTTCTTACATTGTTGAACTGAATTCCTACTCCTCCTAAGCTTAGGAGCTCTGGCAAGCAGAGGAGGGAAATTTTTTGCTTCTTTGGATGTGTCAGCTACTAAAATATGTTCAGCAACAGCAACTACTTGGACTTGATACTCAACACGATAATATGAACCAATCTTGTTATATCTCAAGGAAGTTGCCAGTAGAAGCTCTGCTTTGCATTAGCTTTACTAGGACTTTTATGCAAGTTTATTTTTCTGCACTTATCTTTAGGACAAAAAAAACATTGGTTTGTTTTCTCAAGCTACTTTTGGCTTGGCTCAGGAAATGCCTTTGAATTCATTTTGTCCCCTCTTAAGATGAAAAAATATACCTATATTGGTTTTTCAGAAATTTTTTTTCCCTACTTACTGAAAAATATTCTACATTGTTGTATTTATATTCTATAAATAAAATAAAGCAAAGCTGCTATTCTGTTAAATGCAGAGTGGTTTTCTTTTGGTGCTTTTGATTTTTGGCTGTTTCCTCTTTTTAAGTTAGAAAATGCTGAAACTGCCTATTTGTTTCACAGGATTCAGCCTGATCTAATTTTCTACACATCCCCACTTACACTTCTACTTTATTTCTTTTGATGTTGTGTTTAAAGCTGTTTATAAACAAAACATAACTAGTTCTGTTTGGGTAAATGAAAGTATTTCCTAAATGTGACTATCAACTTAAATACTGATGTTTAAGTCAATAAAAATGTCTCATTTTCATGAGAAATAAAATGCTAATAGATTTTAACAGATTTTTAATAGATTTTTTTTTTTCCCCCCAAGTACCTCAGCTTGAAAAAAAGTTCTTGTAAATGATGATCTTACGGTAAAAAATGTTGATGTCCCCTGGGCTGCTGGCTTAAAAGACTAATTCTTCTTTGCAAATCATATCTCATCAGAGCAGTTCCATGCTTATGAGGAAAAAAAGATAGTACCTTGTTTCATGTAATTGAACACGGTACTATACGTACTTAGCAGATACAGCACTTGACAGACTACTCAATGTAGTCAAAAAGAGAAGAAAACTACAGGTCTGTGTTTGGTCAACAGCCTTTCTTGTGCAGGAGGATTGTAGAGCTTTCCGTTTCTTCCTTTATCCTATGTACTGATAGGAGTTTTGATCAAAAGATACTGATTTAATACATGAAAAAATTTAAACATTTAAAACTAAATAAATGTATCCATTTTAGACCTTTTTGCCCTTTCTGTACATGCCTACTGGTCATGTTTTAATTTTGCATGGTAGGGCAGACTAATATGCCTGTTATACGTTGGAAAGAAATATGAACCTTTAAATTACTAGGGGTTTAACTAAATGTGAACAAAGTAGAAAAGAGGCAGAAACCTTCAACCCTTTGAAAACATAGGGATAATTATTTTAGATAGACAGAAATCAAAGAATCCGATTACATATTTAGCAAACATGCTGGTCTTTACGACCTACTCTTGCATCGATGGACACAGTCCATCGTTGTCTGTGTCATGCAAGTGATTAGAAAACTGGCTTAATCTAGTTATAAAAACAATTGTCCTTGATGTCTGTCTGATGTATAATGTGTTTGTTGGATGGGAGGAGGGACAACTATTGTGTCTCCATCACTATTTTCTGCAGCATTTAAGTTCCAAGAAACACAACTCATTTAATATAATCCTGGGGGTTTGTCCCTAATGGTAACAAGCATCAGTTTCCTAAAATATAGGTAAAAGGAACTACAAGCAGATAGTGTTAATTTTCCTACATTAAGTATTACCCTGATTTTTCCAGTTGTTGAGAAATTCAGTTTGAAACATAAAGCCTGAGAGTTAATAAATGCTTCCAAAGTTAGTAAACGTTGATTCTGACAAGCTGACTTGCTCTTTGTGTTTGGAATGCTGCCCTTCCAAAATGTGCCTAAGCTTGAGTCAAAGTACATCACTAGTTTACCAGTACTAACCTTTGTCTTTGTCAATGCAGATTTTAATTTGTCTGTTACCTATATCCTGTAGGAATGACAAGAATGGTCAACATTACCTGTTACTATGCCACTCTTCATTATGGAAATGGCTGCTATTCCAAATATTGTAGGGGGGTTTTTTGTTGTCTTAAATTAAAAAATCTTTTATTTTTCTTGGTTGCTTTGTTTAATGTAGTCTAACATAATTGGCTGGCTACGCAAAGCACTGGAGACAGATAAAAAAGACTGGATAAAAGAAACTGAACCAGAAGCAGATCAAGATGGGTACTATCAGACTACGCTCCCAGCTATTGTTTTTCAGGTATAAGAGAATTTGGTTATTCTAAAAAGTCTACAGAAGCAGTACATGGGTTTGGGGGAGTGGAGGGGCAGAGGAGGATAGCCAAACTGTTTGGAATGCCACTGTTTCTATGTCAATTGAAGTATACTTTTTTTTCCTGTGGAGTTGTTAGTTGGAGGGGTTGTTTCTGTTGAGGTTTTTATTTGCCTTTTTCTCTTTAACACTTAGAGACTTAGTTCTTTTTATGTGTAGATTAGAAATGTATTTTTCCCAGCCTATCTAGTTGATATTTGTATATAGTTAACTGCTTTGACTTAGGTCTCTTCATGTAAATTTGTAGCATAAGCCTACCAGATGAGATGGTTGTAAGTTATTAGAATATTGTTTGTATTGTATGGTGCTGAGGTAGTTAGGCATGTATTTGTTCCTATAAATTATTCATTATACAAACATTATACAAAGTTCTGTTGAAGATCAAAAATGTTGCTGTTTAAACACTACTTCAGCTAACATTAATGCCTGTCCAAATTATTAAATAGCCTCAAAACAGAAAAGGTAAGGCTATTTCTAAGATCTTAAAAAAACAAAACAAAAAACACAAAACCAACAAAAAAACCCCACAAACAAACAAAAAAACCCCACCAAACCCCAACCTGCACCACCTTGTTGCTGGTAGTAGAAATGGGAAGTTTTTAAAGTAATCTTTATCAACCAGAAAAATGTCAGCTTAATATGCTCATTTTCTAATTTTTCTTCACAAATATTGTGTTAGGTACCTTCAATGAAAGATAGGTGGTCTCTTCTTCCTGCATTTGTTTCCCACTTTTCTTGTTTTATACCAGGATTTTTGCTACATTCTTTCACATTTGTGTTAGTGCCAAGGTTGATTTCTAAGCCTTTTCAGAAAGTATGTGATGTCAAAGAAACTGATGGCTGATTGGCTCTAGTGTTTTGCTGTCAAAGGCTGCAGTGTTGAGATTCATGTAACTGAAACTTTCAAAATCATCTCAGCGTAAAAGCAGCTCATGTTTCCACCTGGCTTTGTACCCTTCCTTTCCAGTACCCCTCCTCTCAAACACAATTCCCTGTAGGTCACCTAGATCTTGTGGCTAGTTGTGTTTCTAAAGTTTAGGGGTCACTTCTACTTCACTAATGTGAACTTACTACTTTCATACATGGGGATAGCAAAGGAATTCAAGTTATAAGGTTATTCATTACTAGCTGCAGGAGCTGACCCAAGAACTTTGGTCCACTGTAAAGCCAAATTTCTACTGAATTAGAAATATTAAGTTCTTTTTTGCTGAAGAAAGATTGCAACTGTTTTCAGTATCAGGAGAAAACTGCAGCATACATCAGTGGTTGCCAATAATTTATGAATTACACTTATGGAAATAGTGATTTTTAGTTAGCAGCAATTGTCTGGGCTTGTTTGAGGGGGGGAACAAACCAAACCCAAAATGCTTATGTAGAGCTGGTGCTAGTGAAAGTCTCTTAACAAGATAGGTGTTCTGTCTTTGGTTTACCACTGATAAAGGCCTCTCTCTATAACTAAACTATTTTTAACTTAGATGTTTGAGCAGAATCTTCAGGTGGCTGCTCAGATAAATGAAGATTTGAAAACAAAGGTACTTCTTCTATGTCTTCAACAAATGAATTCATTTCTAACCAGGTAACGTACTTTTTAAAATATAAACGCTTTATCCTTGTTGTCAAGCATTGGAACAGGCTGCCCAGAGAGGTGGTGGAGTCACCATCCCTGGAAGTGTTCAAAAAACGGGTAGATGTGGCACTTGGGGACATGGTTTAGTCTAGTCTACCCTTGATTGGTTTAGTGTGGACTTGGTAGTGTAGGTTAATGGTTGGACTGGATGATCTTAAAGGTCTTTTCCAACCTAAACGATTCTATGATTCTATGATCCTACCTTAGCCTCTCTTTGTTCCTACAATTTCAATACTTGTTTTTCCTATGGATGTTTGTTTATTGCTTTGTCTTTCTCCAGTCACATCTATGCCAACCAAGCTTTTCTTCCCTTTCCTGTTCTTGCTTTCTTCCCTCTTTCCCCAGTTTCACTGCAGAAGTTCTGTGCTAGTGAGTGGCACTTTCAGTTCCTCTCTGCAAATGGCTTTGATTTTTGGAGTCAGTTCCACTTCCTTTTATATCTCAAACTCTTATCTCTCTCTCACAAGGAAGACGGAAAACAGCTCCTTGACTGGATTCTGCCCAGAGCAGAGAGACTAAATATCACATGAGCAACAAGCCTTTTATAAAATACTTTTAAATACCTGACAGGCCCTTATGGAGTGTTTGGTCCTACAGGTGTACTTAATTTACTACAGATTCTGTCTGTTTAATGCCATTCCTTTTATATGTTACAGGTACAAAGATGAAGCACAGTTGTATAAAGAAGAACATCTTAAAAATCGTCAGTATCCTCAATGCTATGTTCAATACATGATTGCAGTCATCAACAACTGTCAAACCTTTAAGTAAGTCTGCGTGTTCTTGCAGTGTTGTGAGAAAAAGTAGTATTACAAATGAAATACCGATACTTCATGTTCCCAGGACGTTCTCTTCTTTTGTATACAAAGAGGGTTTCAGTTAAGATAGTTTAGCTGACTAAACAAAGACAACAGGTTTGAATATATTACTGCTTTAAGAGGCAGATATTGTGATTGCTCTTGCCTTTGGCAAGCCAGTGCCCCTGACCAGTGAAAATCCACTTGCTATTCCAAGAATTTAATTGCCAAAGAAAAATTTATCTTCAACTTTCAGAATTTGAAAAAGTAATTTCAGTTAAGTTTGTCTGGGGTCTGCCATCTTCTCTTACATTTGATCTCTCACAGTTCACCTTCAAGCAATGTGATCAAGGTGAACTGAACTGGAGAAAAGTAAAAGTAGAGCTTGCTCTAGTAAGAATATCAAAACAGAAGAAAGAAATCCTTATTGCTCATGTTTCAGTGTTCAGCAATCCAACCCCATGTTGATCTATATCTGCTGCCATTCTCAAGTCTAAAAATTAGCAGTACTTTGTTACCAACATACAAGTAGTCTAGGTCGATCACTCTGAAATCATGCTGGAGAGCAAATTAAGGCTTCCAAAGCAAGCAGCAGGCATTATTTCCCCTTGCAAAAATAAGACTGTCTAGTATGTCTCTTTCTGTGTATGCACTCAAAAAATTCAGTAGCAATGCAACTGTGCATCAGTGGATGATGAAAAGCATTGTTATTTGTCACAGAGAATCTATAATCAGTCTGAAAAGAAAATACTTGAAAATTGAAATGGAAGACACGTTGTCAATCAGTCATACAAGCATGGATGCAACGTTAGACACCATTGCCAAAGAAGGATGCTCTAGCCTGCTAGATGAAGTCTTCATGGATTTAGAGGTTAGAACTTTTTTCCTCAAAAAAACAGAAGTTTTATTTTATAAGGAAAAATAATTCAGGAATGAAATAGTTATGAAGCCTTTTGATTGCAAAATGCCAGTAAACATCAGTATTGTTCTTCACTGGTATAGTTTGCGTGTAGGAGACTGAAAGGTTGCTTAATTATATTTCACAGGATGACTTCAGGCAGGTGCTTTGTATATAGTGAATATTTTCTAGCAGATTGTACTTAGTCTTATACTTAGGTAGTTGAGTTTAAGAATTATTTGGGAAGCTACTGTTGATACTAAGATATCTTCATACAGGTGCAGTACACCTGTAATTAAGACAGTTAATTGACTCTAAAGGTGGGCCCTTTCTGACTGGTAAATTTCCATGTTTAAAAATTCTAGCTTCTTGTATAGAATCCCTCAGGAAAAAAAAATATTTTATTACTAAAAAGAAATTGGGAGTATGGGGAGGGAGGCTGGGAAAGTAGAGAAACGGCGGTGGGCGAAGAAAGATGCTCTGGGACTTGTTAGATTTATAATAATATTTTGAACTAATGTAAATACCTTGAATGACTCACATTAAGGAAGATGTGGGAGCAGTGTTTATTTTAAACTTGGAGCTCTTAAGCAAGACCTTTGTTTCTCATTAACTATGCTCACTGATTATGAGAAGACACTCCATCTACTCTAATGACCATTATTTGAAATTCATTAACCTCAAGCTTCATGTCACTGTTATCACTTACAAAATATCGTGCTCTAATATGTAAAGAATTTTTCCTCTGAGGAGAACAAAGCAAGATGGGTATGTAGATGTAGACAATACTGGAATTATGTATTGTGGAGTTCTGGGAAAGGTATAAAGTGTATAGGCCACCAAGTTTGGTATAGGCACAGGAAGTTTGTGAATCCATGAAAGAGGAACAACTGAGTAGCCAGTAGCAGTTCAAGAAGTCAAAGCATGAAGTTGCATTATCACAACAGTTTAAAAGTGTGTCATATTTAAAACTGGAATCGTCAGCTCTTATGCCAGTTTTGTCCTTGGACCTTAATTTTTTTTATTTAGCATAGACATTTAAATAGAGAACACAACAAAGGATTTTAGAGAACTCATATGAAACAAATGCTCAGGTTAGTGCAGTTGGTTTACATACACACCCAGTGGCGCTGGGTAGCACTCTGTGGCAGCTGTCATTCTGACAACTGATCACATCGTTTTCCTACACTAAAGAGTGTAGTTTAGAAATGTATGACACTTAAAATTGTCTTCTATTTTTTGTAACTGCATTGATATGACAGAAGTGTCAAAAATTTCTTCTGATCAATTGTTTGTTACCTTCTCAGCCACATCTCAATGAGCTGATGACAAAGAAGTGGTTGATGGGGTCTAATGCAGTGGGGACTATCTGTGTCACTGTAGAGGATTATTTCAATGACTTTGCAAAAATAAAAAAGCCTTATAAAAAGGTAGGTGCAAAATATTCTAAGATACTTTGCTAATGTACTCTGACTATCGTGTTGGTTTGGAATTTCTGAACACTGAATGGAATTCAGAATTGAAATACAGAAATTGGAATTGATTCATCACTGGAAATGAAAAAGTGTTCATAATCCTATTGCAAAAGTCCGAATCTAGAATTTCTCTCTCATCTTTTTTGTTCACAGCCACATAATATTGTCAAAGACAGATCAGAGTTGCAGGATTTAGTCCAGAAAATGTATTGGCATGTTGCTAGATAGTATTCTTACCAGCTTGTACTTTTCTACATCTCCTCAGAAGTTTGTAGTCAGATAAAATTAGCTCTTCTGAAACTAGTTTTGCTGGCCTGTAATTACATATTTTATAAATGCACATTTTGTAATTCCTAGTTTTAATATGTACAATAAGGCATAGTTAAATTGGTGCCATAAGGTTTAACAAATGCATAATTCATGTTTGAAGTGCTGTTACAGCAGCATAATAGTGCTTGGCATGAGTTTCTTTAAGTGTTAATACCAATCTCTGCAATCACATGTGTTTCATCATGTAGTGTTTATTGCCACCTTATGGGGAAGAAGATAACAAACACATTTTTTGGCATTCATCATACCTGCTATTCCATTGTGTCCCAGCACCAAAAAAATCTCCCACACAAGACACTATGTTCTAGCACTGGATGGGACACACTTTTGTTTCCCTGGTTTGGGGTGGACTTTTTTCCTGGTTTTAAAATACTGTTGATTTACCCTGGTTTGAAAATCCAATTTTTAAAAGCCACACAAACAGAGCACCTGCAAAAAGACTATAGCCCAATGGGCAAGGACACTTCTGGAACAGGGGGGATGTGGATCTTAGTCATTCTGCTTTGCCGTTTTCCTCACGTGTAAAGTGAATGCCGTTTCATTGTGCTGTTGGCTCTTCTCGAGTGTTCTTTTTCTCAGTGGTAGTAGAGCTGTTCTTCTTCACTTACTTTTCAGTGGGATGGGACATACATGTCAGTCTCCCACAGTCTGTTCTGTGCAGTTAATTTTCTTCTGTGTAATTTGCATCAATTTCACCAATGCAAGAGAAGCCATCTCTGAACAAACAGTAAACTCTGGTATTTCTGCACAGTCTTGAGAGCAGGACTTGAAATCATATTTTCTGTGTCCTGGATGAGGGTTGTGACTTCCAGTACTTCGCGATCTGTGTTCTTTTTTTTCCTCTTCTCTTTTTCCTGAAACCTTTCTCCAAAATTTTGACTGAAGAACATGTTGATTGAAACTAAAGCTTGATATATACTAATAATATGTGATAAAAAGTTTGTGACTGCCTGTTATGCAGCCTTTTCTTAATCATAAGTAACTTTGCCACCATGCTTAGGGGAAAGAAAACTACATGAGGACTTGTGGGATTTAAGGACTCTCTTTACATTAGAGTTGAAAAAACATGTGAAGGTTTTGGGTTTTTTTTGTTTTGTTCTTGTTGTGGTTTAATCCCAGTCAGCAACTAAGCACCACACAGCCGCTCACTCACCTCCCCCCCCAGTGGGATGGGGGAGAGAATTGGGGGGCAGGAAGAGTAAAATCCATGGGTTGAGATAAAGGCAGTTTAATAGGACAGCAGAGGAAGAGAAAAATAATACTACTGATAAAAGAATATACAAAACACATGATGCACAATGCAATTGCTCACCACCTGCTGACCGATGCCCAGCCAGTCCCTGAGCAGCACTTGCTGCCCTTGGCCAACCCCTCCCCCCCCGCCCCAGTTTATATACTGAGCATGACATCATATGGTGTGGAATAGTCCTTTGGTCAGTTTGGATCAACTATTCTGGCTGTGCCCCCTCCCAGTTTCTTGTGCACCTGTGTCCTGGTTTCAGCTGGGATAGAGTTAATTTTCTTCCTAGTAGCACGCATGGTGCTGTGTTTTGGATTTAGTATGAGAACAATGTTGATAACACGCTGATGTTTGAGTTGTTGCTAAGTACTGCTTATGCTAGTCAAGGACTTTGCAGCTTCCCATGCTCTCTCTGCCAGGTGCACAAGAAACTGGGAGGGGGCACAGCCAAGATAGGTGAGCAGGCGGCAGTGTGGTGCTTAGTTGCTGGCTGGGGTTAAACCACAACAACCTGGCAGAGCATGGGAGGCTAAAAAGTCCTTGACTAGTGTAAAGACTACTTAGCAACAACTAAAAACATCAGTGTGTTAACATTATTCTCATACTAAATCCAAAACAGCACTATGCCAGCTACTAGGAAGAAAATTAACTCTGTCTCAGCTGAAACCAGGACAGTTCTTTATTTTCAAACATCAGCATTACTCTTGCACCAATACCAGATGCTTCACTTAGTCACCAGTAGCTATTTCCTATAAAAAAGACAAGTGCAGAACAGCAAATCAGTCAAGCAAGATCTAAGAAAGTGATTGCTGCTGGCTCTCCAGGCTTCTTTACCAGGCTTGGCCCAGAGCACAGATTTGAAATGCTTTATGCAGTGTACTAGAGTTTTCCAGCAGAAGTCTCTGTGGCGGCCCGTCATTCCTTGTCTGGATATAAAGAGCAAGGCTGCAAGACCAAGCACAGGTCTGTTCTAAAGATCATCCAAATTATTTCATATTTGTTCTTCTATCTTTTTGGTGCTTCTTAGAAATAATTCAGACATGTTATTAGAGATATCTTGGTTTTGTTGTTTCTTGTAATTGGCACATCCTTTTCATTAGGGAAGGACAGATTTCCATTTCTGTTAGCATTGTGAAAATCTAAAGCCACTCAAAATGTGTAGTACTCACAAAAACTGTGTAATGGTGGTTAAGTGCAAATACACATTTCAAAGCCTAATTACTGTCCGAAGATTAAAAATAATGGCTACTTTTGCAGGTATCACTGGCGTAATCCACCACCTTTTATTTTTGTTTCAGACAATGACTGTTGAGGCCCATCGGAGAGTAGTTGTGGAATACATCAGAGCAATCATGTTAAAACGTATATCTTTCAAGAACGCAGAAGAGAGAAAAGAGGGTGCAGAAAGAATGATCAAAGAAGCAGAACAGTTCAGATTTCTGTTTAAGAAGCTTGCAGCTGTATGTATTTGCTTTGGGCAAAGCTGTTAATCTGGTAATTTAGAATAAACTGCAACTGTTTACTGCTTGGGGAAAGTGGCTAGAGGTAGATTTCCATGTCTCCAAAATATTGGATGACTTGTGAATATCAAGGATGCCAGCTGAGGGCACAGACAGAATTTCTGAACACGCACAGGTCTGCTGCTGAAGTTCCTGAGCACCAGTTTCTACTGCTTTGTGTTTATACAACTCTCTGCAGCTGAATATTTGAATGGCCTAACAGAGATAGGTACCCTGAATTTGTAGTAGTAAGCGAAAGAAAAAAGCAGTTTGGTTAAAAAAAAAAAAAAAAAAAATTGGGCTTTGCTTTTCCTGGCTAGAAGAAAGGGTCATACTGCATCGAACAGATGGTTACTTGCTACCTAAGTAGCATGCAGTGTATTAATTTAGAATAAACAAGGCAAGTATGTTGACCCCATTTAAAGCACAGTAGAAATAGAGAAGACAGGACAAAAAAAAGGTATTTGAGAAACAATGTACAAGATAGGCCTAAAATGAATACTAAATGTTTTTTTAACTGCATAAGAAGCAAGAATCTGCTGGAAAGCTCCTAGGGTCAACAGATGACAAAATGCAAAAAGAATGCAGAGAAAGATAAAGCCTTGAAAAACTGGGGGGAAGGAGGGGCAGATAATGTTCATCTCTGTTCACTGTGGAAGATGGGGCAACATCAGAGTCCTTCATTATGTGGGATTCTGTGTAAAATCTGTGTAAGATTAAGGCATCGATGGAAGAGGTTATGGAATAAATGAAATGAACAATACCAGATTGCCAGGATAAGATGACCTGGAACTAAGAGCACTAAAATAGTCCAGAGATTAAATAGCTATTACAGTTCAGTTGATCAGTTGTTGAAAGCTGCCTTGGTGGCCAGATGACTAGAAGGAAGCTAATGCAGGGCCAGTTTTTAAGTAATGTTTCAGAAGAGATCTGGCTTTCACATCAGTTATTCCTAATGTTTATGCTGGCAAATTAGCAAAAGCTAAAGACTAGAATATATCACCATGTACATAAATACAACATATTTGTAAGACCTGACTTTCTTTATTGGTATTCTGAGGACAGGTCTCTGGAT